GTGTGACAGGCTACAGGGAATATTGAAGGCAAAAATGCAGCAGACTTACCTTTTCGATATCGTTGTCACGAGCTCGCTTGGTTCCGCGGCCAGGCACTGAGGTTTGCCTTTCCTCGCTGCCTCGGGCGGAACTGCGGTCGGAGCCTCCCCTCTTCTTGACAGAGGCTTTGGTGCTCTTCTGGCGGAATGCAGCCTCTGCCTCACGACGAAGAGTGGTGGCTAATTCTCTGTTTTCCTCCGTGAATTTACGAAGGCGGTCTTGGGGAACCCAGTCATCCCAGCTGGAAAGACAGAACAAATGTCAGCAATTGTGGCTCTGACAAGGACACCTCTCCGTTCCGGCGTGATGGTGGCTTCACCGGCAGAAGGGAAATTGCGCAAACCCCGTCCTTCTGCCATTTAGAATAGAGTCACAATTCCAACCCAAGACAGGAGGTGAGAGAATTCGGAGAGATGAAGGGGATAACGCTAGGTTAGACGTACGTATTCTTCCAGCCCTTGTAGTGGACTAGATATTCATAAGGACTCTTACGGTCCTCTGGGTCTGTATGCCTCAGGTCAAGGATCTTGGCCTCGTACAGAATTTCATGATGAAAACAGAGAACCCTCTCGTCCTTCTGGTAGGTCATTTGGCTTGTTGGGGCCATTTTGAGATGAAGTGGCACGTAGACAGATCAAGGGGTGTCTGCTGTCACTGAGGGGTAGGATGCTGTTATAGCAAATCAAAATACCAGCCACAGGTTTCACCAGCTTGATCGCGAGAAGAAACAAGTAGAAACACGGAGTAGAATGGTGAGACAGGTATTTAAGGTCTCGTCAAGTCAAATTTGCCTCTGCGAAGCACGTGCACTGAGATGAACAGTGACTGAAGCAAGCGAAGAAAATGGCAACTGTGCGCACACAAGCAGGGAAGTGATGTGGCAGATGTGAGCCTTCACTAGGCCTTGCAGACAGCCAGCTTATAATGATTCTGGCTGGTTTGGAAAATAGTTGATTGGCTCCAAGCAGTGTCAGAACCTCCAATATAAGACAGGAGCCGGTGGTCTCACAGTGAATAGCTGGTTATTCCCTGATTATTTCGGGAAGATGGCCGGAACAAAACAAATCTTTCTGGTCCAATGCCAATCCGAGAGGATAATGGGGTTGCAGAAGTGGTGAGGGTTCAGAGCATGTCGCGGTTGGGACAAGAAGAGGAAGCGGAACGACTGGATGAGGAACGCGTCCAAAAGGGCAAGTCACGAACTTTCCCGGCTAGTTTTAATTGCTTTGCCCGCCGCCATCTCATCTTCCTCTTTCTTTATTCCATCAACACCAGCAACGTCTCATCAATTAATCTTGCATACAACCCGGCTACGGTCGTTCACTTCAGCAAGCTGAGCACTGTTACTCAATCATTGTTCCACCCCAGCCACCTTGGTGTTCTGGTAACTTAATCGGCGCAAGACGCGATACACTCCGATTGAGGGTAACACAGCAGCGACAAGACAATATCACCTCAGAAGGTGAACCAAATAAAGCCTCCAAAGGGCAAACTAGTTGAATTCAGTGTTAGCCATAATTATATCGTGTGTTGACTGCGCCATCCTGCTATTCATCCACCATGGCGCCTACGGAATCCTCAATTCTGGGCAATTTTCTGCTCTCACCGGCTCCTTTGCCGACGATCATGTCGTTACAGCAGTTTACTGAGCTCTTCCCAAAGCGTTTGCGGTCTCATCCGCACATCAGGGCGCTTTACCGCGAACTGCAAGAGCTACGGGAAAATGACATGGACCTCGTCAACGGTAACATTGACAAGGAGGTTCGCCAGGGGGAGACCCAGAAAGCAGAGCTCCGGAAGTCTGTCACCAAAACAGGTGTTGACGGACTCAGCTCTAGCGATCAGCGTGAGATGGATATGGATGTCCAATTGTTCGGACAAACATCGTCTTCCGACTATCATTCACCATCCAGTCTCCTGGATGCCATGGAGAAGGCCATCTCGGACATTGACCGTCAAGTTTTTGAGACCGATGAGGAAGCAACAGCGATCTTAACTATGCTCAACAACACGGTCGGAGAAATGAGCGACTTGCGCTACGGCAAAATGCAGGGCCCCGCCGGCACAAGCGGCGAAGACATGGTGAATGAAGCCATCCGAGGCTTGGGCCATCTGGAAGATGCGTGCTATCGTAAAAGCTGAGCCCTATTTGGCAGACGCATCACTATTATCGAGAATAATATTCTCACACCTCCATTTGCCTAATTGTCAGGCACGAATGACATAACTTGCCTTCCTGCTCAGTTGCATTGGCTAGATGCCGCAAAGCAACACTGCAGCACGGATACATACATTGTGTGAGACCAATGTGCTCCAGCTCGGCAAGTCCTCTGCTTCCTTGGACTAGACTCCCCTGAATGTTGGCCACCATTGGCCCTTCTTTCAGAACCTGGCCAACCGCATGTACGTGCATAAGGGTGATGATTCAGACAGGATCATACCGGGTTTGGGGGCCGGTAGAACAAGTCAACAGCACGAGTTCGCTTCTCTATTTGCAAGATTTGAACAGGACGTATATCCTATATATGGTCTTATATATGGTATACAGTGTCCGCATCATTACGCTGTTGCTCTTGTCTTTCACGAAAATCGAAGACTTCGTTGAGGATAATACCCTATTCAGCTATCAAATTGACATCTACCATCGCTTTCCCAGCTTCGAAAGACATAACATCTGTAAATCGTAGCTTATAGACTATCTTGGCGTGCTTAAATTCAGGCTCTTAAACCATGTGCAACTTCCAAAGCCGCCTTCATGGCACTACATCCCAAAGAGGAAATGCCGATAAGATACGAGATTGGCGTGACGCGCTAATCTTAATCTCTCTTTTCGCGACCTCCAATTCCAAGCCCAATTGCCACGCCCCCTATTTCCTACTTTATACACTTTCCTCACCACAAAACGACGAGCTCAGTTCCTCATCCGCTCAAGACACTTTTCCGAAAGACAGTAATTCAAAAATGCCATCAATACCCCTCCACCCTCGCGCATCCAATCCCTCCGCACGCGTCAACAATCCCCTCCCCCAGCTTCTGCAAACCCCCTCCGGTCTCGCCCTCCTCGAGCTCCAAGGCACTATCAATATCCCCTCGCAAGAGAACAGCGAAAACAACGAGTCGTCAGGCTCATCACCCGACGGTCCCGGCAATCCCAATGGTGCCCCCGTGTTCGAAACCCCCATCGGCAAACTCATGTTCCCCGATTACTCTCCGCAGTTTACAGCACCAGACGATACAAAGTGGATGAAGAGGGTCTATCTATATGTTGGACGGTATCAGCGAATGACCGGAGAGGTCAAAAAGCTATCACAGCCACTTGCAATTGTGCAGCGGAGACAGAAGGAATTGGGTGCGGCGGCTGACGACAAAGAAGAGTTGGAGATTGTCGAGATCGTGAAGTACAAGATCTACTTTAAGAGTAGACCGGAGCCTGTCAATGATATCTGAAGTGAGATTCTACGGATTAAAGCCGGACGAATCGGCGGTTTTGGAGATCTCGCGTTGCGCAGGCCGGCTATGGACACATTGAACGCAGCGTATGCGGACAGATTGGGTCCGTCGGAACTCAGGCGTGCTGTTCTATTCCCATCGAGGATATCATCCATGAACCGTCGGCCGCTTAGTGCCGAGCTGACAATACCGACTCACATACATATAGTTCGCTCGATGGCGGAGATTGAGAGTCGGTCTCGAGTACAATTCGTGAGGATATTGCATACAACATGCCGGTTGATGGCCCTTGTTATAAGCCATTCTCCATTCATATACGTGGCGTCAATGGAACCCGATTTCCCAGTTGGAGTCAGCATTCAGCTGGAAAGGGAACGATTGATATGAATCTCACAGGCCCGTTCGTGTCGTGTCAGGCTATATTACTCGATATGCTGGGAATGCCTGGCAGAATGCCATCTATAATACCTCGAGGGTGAACCGTTCGCCTACCGGAGTCTGAAGGCGCATTGCTTTCTGCGGTCTTTATGAGTCCATTAAGCAGAGTCTTTCATGACGAGGACTGAGGCCACGATTCTGATTAGTTAGTCGACTTCTGCGCTGTCTATCCCGCTGTCCAAGATATGCCACGATGTTATCGAAGTGGTCATTCGACGGCGTGCGCCTAGCATGGTCTTCCTTCGCCCTACAGACTATCATCACGGCGACCTGTGATAAGGCTCCTAGTGACAGGCGCGAGCTGTATAACGATAGAGCCTGAAGCAGAGGCTCAATACAATGGCAACATGGAGGACAGGAAGTATACCAAGCCAATAGTGAATTCACAAAAGCAATTCATTACTACATATTCAACACAACAGCTATGTGTACCATGAACAAACTAGCAATCATAAGAACATCTGAAAACAAACAATAACTTCAGCGAAACTGATCATCCACCAGCAAAAGTACTAGTCGAAGTGGTGGCCAGCCTGGTAATATTCCGCCATCCCACAGACCCGAGAAAAGACATACCCGGGCGGAATCATTTCCTCGCCCCAGTTCCGCCAACCTATTTCATTCCGTCCCTTCGAATGCAGAACATCCCATCCTGCATGCACGCCTCCTGTCAGTTACACTGCAGTTGACATCCATGCAAATCAATTCTTCCTGTACAGAAACTATTCAAATCAACAAACTTCACATATCACCAAAAGTCTCAAAGTAGACACCAATAGCACAAACCCACTTCCCCCCACCCACATCCACATCCGTAACTACCTTAGATCCGAGGGAAAGAACCTAAACCTCTCCCATCCGAACATCCGTCGGAAGCCGACACGAAGATCCATACACTCATTCCCAGCAAAACAACCCATTGTCCCTAGTATTCTCTACGACAAACCCTTTCTACTACCGAGAAACAACAGAACATAATACTAGTCTAGTTTTCTTTTACCCCGCAGTACCCCCCCCCCCCCTCCATCATCGGATATATCCATAACTACCAGTATAAATACCCCTCCATTTCCCTCTCTCCCTTGTTCCCCTCCATCCCATAACCAACGCCTCCCTCACACACAGACACACATTACTATAGACACTGATAAAAAGAGATCTACTCAGTGTTCCTCCGAAGAACCTTCACCACATTCACCCGCAAAATGGCCCCTATCGAACGCATCACGCTCTTCAAGATCCCCAATGATGCGGACCGCGATCGCGTCCTAGAGCAGTATAAGGTTTTGGCTAAGACGGCTGTTAAGGTATATTTATTCCCTTCTTTCCTTTTTGTTTTTCCCCTTTTATAATCCCTATGTATATATATATATATATGCAAACAGTGACTTATCGTATATCTACAGGACGGAAAACCCTACATCCTCAGCTCGGCCGCGGGAGCCTCCATCCCGGATGAGCGCAACCAGGGCTGGAATCTGTCTGTGAAGACGACGTTCGCGTCCCTGGAGGATATGGTTTACTATGATGAGCAGTGTGAGGCGCATAAGGCGTTGAAGGCGGTTGTGGGACCTGTTAGGACGGATAAGTTGACGACGTTTTTTGAGAGTGTGTTGTAGGATTTTTTTTTCCTCTTTCATATTTATGTTCTATTATAATTGTCAGTATGTTTTTCATGTATAGATGATGATAGGCTACTGCTGGTTGGTTTGATTCATGGTATACATCTATTGGGTTCATGCCACTACTTCACACACTTGGTTCTGTTCGGCACTTGAAACAATAATGTCATCATGTCACAATGGGGAGAGGAAAAAGGGTCGGTCAGTTCGGTATGTGTCATGAAGTGAGTGCTAGCCATGTTGTTGCTGCCGCTGCTGCTGCTGATAACATAAGAGAGAACAACATTGATACAATTAACAAGGATAGTTTCTTCGCCCGTGGTTGCCTTGAACGTGAACATGAACATGAACATAATTACCCAACAAGGCTTTCTCCCACGCGTGCCAACCGCTTAAATGTACAGATAGTAACAGGGATATAGTTAATCATGGTTGGTAACTGGACGAAGAAAAAGCAAAGCAGCGAAGCCAGGCAACACCCGCTAAACTCAGGTTAGAATATATCTACATCCCGCTGCTCAGTTGAGAGCCTTGCGAAGATCGCTCCATTTCTGTTTCAGGTTCTCGTGTTCATCATGAATCTGGTTAAGTTGGGTCAGATGTCGTTGCACTTGATCGCATATTGATGAGAACTTACCTCAGCCCATTTCATCTTAGCCTCCACTAGCTCCTTCTCCATCTCGGCCATCTGTTCGACCATCGACCGGTTCTCGTTTTGGACTTCCATGTTGCGCTTCATGATGCGGTCCATCTCAGTCCGCAGCTTCTCCTCGACTTCGGCCGGTTGTTTATCCACGACGTTCTTCAACTCGGTGACCTGCATCTTCATGGCATCATTCATGTCCGTTAATTCTTCGTTTTCCACCTTCAGGTGCACCAGCTCGGACGCAAGCTGCACGTGCTCCTTGTCTGATGCTTCGGCTTGCTCCTCTAGTAGTCGGATTCGAGCACTCTGAGTGGCAACGGTGTGCCGAAGGTTGTCTAGCTCCTGCTCACGCTCCTTCTCGGTCCGTACCATTTCCTCCCATTCCTCTGTGTACGCGCGGATTGTCTCAGGCTCAAGAGGGATGGCGCAAGCATCCTGGACCATGATGTCGGCGCGATAGACTTCCTTGTCCGCGGCCCCAGAGCTTCCGAAGAAACCAGACTCCAAGATAGATGACGCCGAGGGCTGCTTATCAATGTAAACGTCAAAGAGGCGCTCCTTCAAAAAGGTTGTTAGCGGTGCCATGTCCCTCATGCCCAACAGAGTGTCTGCATTCCTGCGCATGATCGCCAGGGCGAACTTCAAGATGGTATTCTCAAGGCCCTCTTCGAAGATGAGATCGTAGACGCGAAGAACCAGTTGAAGAGGGAATCGGTAGGCGAATAGCGTCAGGAACCATTGAGTGGCATACAACTGAGGGGGTACGCCCCGCCGCCGGAGGTGACAATAGAGAGCCGGCTCCACGTCCTCCAGCAGGCGTTCGAACAGATATAAGCTGCGATGGAGGCCTGGCATGTCATGGATGAACAGCTCCCGCAGTCCGTACTGATTCATGAGCTTCACGAGGAGCGTAAATGCTTCAGCCTCGTCCATCTAAATAAGTTTAGCATCAGCAATCATGTTCTTGATGTTAAAGTAGAGATGTAGAGCTGCTCACATTGAATAGCAATGGCATCACAATAAAGTTCATCCCCTGAGCATATCCCACGGCCTCATCATATAAAGCGTATGCCTTACAGAGCCCAAATAACCCCTCCTGGTTTCCTTGCGACACGAAGTAGCGTGAATAGCTCGTGCGAGCACCAAGGTCACGACGAATAGTCTTCTCTAGCTTCAAAAGCGCAGCTGATTCCTCTTTGGCCTTCTTTTTCCGAGCTGTTTCGTTGGCAGCCTGCTCTTTGGACAGCTTCTCGGGATCCAACTCCTGGGAAGGACTCGAACCATTGACCGAGTGGGCCACCGAGGCAGAACGCTCCGATCGAACGGATGAGCGAGATGAAGAGGCCGTTGAGTCCTTCTCTCCGTTAATGGTACCATTCGGGCTGTTCTGCTTCTCCTTGTCCGTGCCACGGGCAATGAGCTCCCGGTAAACTTCCTCAAGCTCCGGGTTTCTGCTGTCTGCCAGAACCTGCCAGATCACTCCACGAATAGTTTGTGGAATGCCTCGTTTGATAGCGGCATTCAGTTCATCCGAGTTTGCCCCCTTCAACGCTTGCGCGCCATTGTTGACTAGTTGCTGCCAGAGCTCCCAGTCTACCGGCGCAGACGCGTCAGTTGCAGAGGTTGAAATACCCGCAACAGTTCCCGGGGCAAGTTTAGGGTTGACGGTTGACGCTCCATTAGGCGGCGACGTCGCCCGAGGGGCGGCCGCAATGCCATTCTCCCCTTCTTCCGGTATGCTGGGCGGAGGACTTCCGGCCGTAAAACTTGCACGTCCCGACGCAACGCTAGCCTCGTCATTCTCCGACGCGAGTCCTTCCTCTCGCAACCTGAGCTGTTTGAACTGGTCCTTGAGGCTGCTGCGCCTCGGCTTTCTATGGCCTAGACCATCAACATCCTCTCCCTCGTGGTGACGACCCATTTCCGGATTGCTTGCAATAGTCGATATGGATGCGGCCGTATTCCGACGTGGTTGTGCCGGAGGCGACTTGGCGTCCTTTCCGCCCGATGAGCTTCGAGACAGCCATGCAAACGGGCTGGTAAACGATCGAGTTGGCGGAGGAGGCGGTGCAACAGGGGCTTGGTTCTTTGCGGTAGAAGCGTTGGATGATCCCTGGAGGCGCGAACTGTGGGACGACGTGGAATCTCTAGAGGATAATGGAGGAGGGGTACCGGAGTTGAGCTCCTGGCTCAACGGCTGGTTTTCAGTCGATTCATCGTCCTTGTTGCTACTGGCAAGGTTCACGTCGTCGAGAGACGTTGTTGATAGCCTGTGCGCAGTCAAGAGTGGAGATTTCTGGAGTTTCTGTTTGCGAGGGGTATCCTCCGCTTCTGATTGTTTCTCCACGCCAGCATCATCTGTCTCCTCGGCCGATTCGTGGTCTTCGTGAGAAGTCGCCGGTAGCGGGGGAGCTTCCGTCAATTGAGGCGTGGCAACATTCGATCCGCTCGGGGGACTGTCTGTCAAAGACCGTGTGGAAGAGCTTTGGGGAATGGAAACGTTCAGACTGCCGTGGGTGTTCGGGGCTTCGGGCGCATCGTCAAAGGAATCCTGGTGCGAATAAGATTATGAGTCTTTCTTCGTGATCGCCAGGTTTTGGTGAGAAGAAGCTTACACCTTCGTACTCTGCGCTGTTCCTAGAAGACATATTGGGACCCGACCACCTGGGAGGGTGTCCACTATGTGAAACCAGCTGGTTTCTTCGATCCAATTTCGATCAACAAGAGAGGCGGCAGATACGAAATTCGATGTGTTTGATGGAAGTCCAAACAGCGATTATTCCATGATAGGGACCGAGGATAATGAAGAAAACCAGGTGTGTTCGAGCGGGAGCCACAGGCTGTAGCCGAATTGTAAATTGAGAGGGAAGGGGGAGAGGTTGGATAAGATGGGATGATGGGATGGAATGGACCCAGAGCCAGCGGGTGGAATTCCGGACTTTGTACCACGGGACTGGCAGGGGGGAAAAGATGCCCGCAATGGATCCAGGAGGGTTGGAGAGTGGATTTATGAAGATTCCCTCCTTCGTTCTTCTCCCGTTCGGCGGCAGAACAAAAAGGTCAGGCAGAGAACGATGTCAAATCACCGTTGCTGAGGAAGAATGAAAGTAAGTAAAGTAGAAAGTAGAAAGTAGTAGTCAACGGGAGATCCCCTGGCAAAAAGAAAGATGGGGGCTTGGCGAGACTCTCTAAACCCCGTGATTCGGATGCTGCCTTCCCCCTTAAACTAAACTACTTACTGTTACTACTAAATATACTAAATAGACATCCACTGGCAGGCGCTTCTTTAAGTCAACCACTAGTCTGCCTACACTACGACTTAGTCCCTTAGCCAGCCGGCAATAAGGACGTATCAAGCCAGCAGTGTTGGAGCTAGTGCTGGGGGGAGGAAGGGGGAAAGGAGAGAGAGAGAGAGAGAGAGGAGTAGGAGAGAGGCTGTTCCTTATGCAAAGAAAATACCTTCACAGCCATGCTCGGTTGGAAGAGAATAAAGACGGGATGGCTGGCGGTTCGACAGGTTACTTAGACTACACTGTACACTACTGTACTTACGTCTGTACTCGCATCAATTCTTGTGGTCGGGATTTATCAACAGGCGATGCGCGGGTTCCTGCCAGGTGAACCACTAAAATGATTCCGGGGCTGCATTAAGTGCCCATTCTCCCGCCCGAGGGAGACCAGCATTGAGCATTCCCGTGGACACTTGTTATTCTGAAACTCACCAACAAAAATCCATCGCGGTGGTTGGTCCCACTATGGAGCAAGTGCTGCAGCTGCTGCCCATCATCTTTCTTCCTGTTCCAGGTCCACCCCCCTCCCATCATTGCACAAGAGGGGGAGAAAAGAGAAAAAAAAAAAAAAAAAAAAAAAGCAAGGAAAAGTAAGTTAAAGATCGGAAAATCTTCTTGTCAACAAAGCAAAAAAATTATTCTCCCCCCCGCAGATGGCGTCTATAGATTACTATACATATCGCATCGGCAAGGGATGAGCTGACCATGACCGGCTCAGCGGCTGAGGGAGTGTTCAAAATCCAGCCACCGTTGGAGTCGCAGCGGGTCCAGCTTCTTCAATTCCGACAGCCAATCCTGCACCTTCTTTTTCCTCTCTCCACTGGGCGCACTCCCCTCCACCTTCCACATCAACATCGTACAATCAATCAATGCTTGGTAAATATACTTGCAATCCTCAGCCCCATCCAACATATCTTGAATCTCGTCGATTTCCTGTCGGAGATAGTCTAGGCGTTCGGCATCACTCAAGTGCGGTGCCAGCGTCTGATCCGCCACAGATGGATCAAAGACGCTCATTAGGTTCTGATGATAGAACCATAATGACTGGTCATACGGGTCACACAAGGCACGATGGATCAAGTCCAATTCTTCCCAGTATGATATGTCAACACACATACTTGTACGCCGTCTCCAGGCCACGCAAATGACAAAGGGGATGACGTACCATTGTCAAGCATCGCTTTTCGCTCCGCGTCGCTAGCGGATTTCTCATTCAACATGCGCTGGATGAGTTTCGTACGATAATGCCAGGCCGAGAAGTTCGAGAGGTTAGCCCCAATCATCTTCTTTGCATATTCGTACTCTGTCTGCGTCATCTGTTGCCCTTCCTGCTCCTCCGATTT